GCAAACATCGATAAATTCGGTTCAACGTGTACAGTATCCTAGCTGGTAATATTGACACCGTTTGCCGCAATATCTTCTATACATTTCTCCATTTCTGAGAATAAGTTAACTGTTTACGATATTGTTTTGTGTCGCTAGTGTTTCAGCTGTTATTTTTCAACTGCTTATTTATTGTCTCTTTGTTTTTTCTATTTCTAACGTAGAGATTTATTGCCATTTCTGAGCTGGAAATAATCATAAAGGTCGTATTAACTTGACCTCTTTTGTGTTGATGGATTCTCAACAGTAATGTAAAGTTTATGCAGAGACTTATTGACTGAAATAAATTACTGAACTTAATGTTACTGAATTCTGATCAACTTTTGAGTCCGCAATAAAATTTATATGAGTAACTCAGTGCATTGAATGTACACAAATTACCGTAGACCAACAATTTACGTAGAGGTAGACCGTTCGTTGTGTGTACGTGAGTTAGATTTACGATGGTTCGACAGGTTTGAAAGATTTTGTGATACCAAAGTTATTCGAGCTCGTCTGTGGGGCACGTTTGCATCATCAAATAAGTTTGCTTTGTCCTCGTGGCAGAACAAGGGCCCTTCAGCGACGCCACACGGCTTCGCACTTCCGTACGTGATCATTACGCGGTTGGTACTTCCATTCAATTTACTAAGCAAATGAAATCTTATATCACTGTGATATCATTTTCTATACTAACCATATAGAGCTTTTATATAAAACCCTAATTATCCCATTTCTACATATCAGGCAATACGAATGAAAATATAAATATTATTTTCGGGCATAACGTGTATAAACGTTCCCTTTTTACGAGGTTGAAATTATAACTCGTAGGTTTTATTGCGCAATCAAATTGTAAATACGATTCAAAGAGGCCTTTCATAGTAAGAGAGGACAATATTGGAGATAATAAAAACATAACGCATATAAAAATATAAATTGCGTAGCACTCGTAGCGCTCGTAGCGCTCGTAGCAGGTGCTACGAAGCGTGAACACAGGGGGTTATTATCAGCGCGCAGTCTCCGCCCCAAAAACCCTTTTCCTCTTAGCCGTCTAACCGGAAACCGGAAAACCCGGATTCAATGGGTTATCGTTGAAAATTATGATTTGGAAAGCGTGTGAGTTTTACACCTCGTATTTACCATTCGAGCGGCCCACTAACATAAAAACGATATACCTATTTTACTTGGATTGTTGCTGATGGATTGCTGTGGATTTTCCTTGTTTATTGTGGATTGGAGTAATATTTTGCTTAAGAAAATAAACATGAATACATACAGAGTTCTTTTCATGATTGAAAAAAGGATTGGATCTGTTTATGTAATATTTATGTACAAAACCGTAAATTCACTAGATTGACATAATTAGAGTAAACAAAATCTTAATATGTCCACAATGAGGCGGGAGCATGAACACAAAATGTGTATATAACTGGCATTCTGTTAACACGGAGGAACGTGGGCCAACCGGCGACCGGTACAAAGAGTAAACAACGTAAACACACAAGTTATAAGGGGCATGCACGGCGGCGATTCTCTCCGTCTCGCTACTGAGCGCCGAGCACCGAGCACCACGTCGCGCCATTTTGTTTCGGCTAATTAACGTAGGATTGTCACAGTCCCTCGGGGACCTTGTTAATGTACATATCTGTTGTACACAACGCGACGTCTAGCTCGGGTTAAATTAATATTGTTCACAGAATTTTTACAATATTTTTGGAAGGATGTTTGAAGATAATGAAAGCTTATGTAACTACAAGGTATGTTTGTGTTATAAATCTGTTTTATTATTAATTGTGGCTTTTAAATTTAAATTTTTAAAGCATATAACTGTAACTTCCTCGTGCAGTGGCCGAAAAATACCTCTAAGTACGATAGTGTTATCCAGGTAGTATATAGGTGAGTTTTACTAGATGGTAAAAGTAGTGGTTTAAGGTACTATCGTTGAATTCCATATAAAACTAAGATAAAATAGGTACTTCAAACATGCTATAGAGAATCCTAGACAGCCTTGAGTTTACAAATACTAAAGTAACTTACATATGATATCGAATTAAATACTAATAGAAAAATACGATACAGGTATGTATCAGTTGTTTCAACTGCCTGCCTGAGTTAAATAAATAATAACTTCTATGTCCTTAGGCATTAGCACTTAAGTAGACTGAAATATTTGAATAACTTTCAGGAATATAAACCCTCCTTCACTATTGTTCGCCTCTTTCTATGCTTTTATTTTTCAACAACGTAAAGTGTTCAACAGATATTTAAAGTTATAAGAATTGAAAAAGACTGTGACGTCACACAGTTGTGGCTCCAACATGATATACGCCCGTACATTACATTTTATAAATTCAGCAAGATTTGTGCTATAACAACTTTAAGTGGAAGTGTAAAACATTTTTTCCCTTTTACCACAAAACGTGATCACAGTAATATAACTTTTATTCTTCGTATAAAAATTCTTAGCTTGATATACGACGTAGTAAATCATTCCTTTTAGAGTAATAAGTCTTCAGACGACCACACTGGCACTGGTTTGATGCAATGTTTATAGACGAGGCTACGGATAACAAGGCCATGTGTGGGCTTGGTTCATACGAAATTAAATTTTCGTATAGAGAATTGTCAATAGATGCCTTATTTTACACGCTTAATAACAATGGGCCCCCTCAACTTTATCCACAATAAAGCCATGACGCCGCATCAGTTACTCTCTAAACACATAAAGTGCTGGCAAGTTCCACCGACAATATAAGTAACACTTAACACATTGAACGTCAAGGGCGTGCGGGGCCTTACAGGCAGTTACACAATTTCTTCATTGCTCTTTTGGGGGTAGAAATGACCGCATTACCTATACGTATTTATACATATAATGGAGCAGCCGTCACATGGATAAAAAATTGCGAACATTTTATCGTAAGTCGGTATAAATGGCCTATTATAAGAAAACTGTTTGCGCAAAGTTTATAGCAAAAAAACTATTTTCAATGTTATTTTTACCGGCTTACACAGTTTTTTACTTATAAATGTTTCGAACTCTTCTTTTGTGCAGGGTATCAAAGAGCTGTTTTGTGAAGGATGTTGAGTTTTCTACGTTAAAGTTACTTTCTTAATTAGTTTGTGAAACTGTACACTGTACAGGTCCAACATCCACATTGGATTTTGATCTTCTGTTGTTCCGAATTCAGTCGTCGTTATTAGAATATTATCACTTATTGCCTTCTGTTGCACGAATAAAAGTAAATAAGAGTTATTTTCGGATCAAAGGATCAAATTATTACAAAGGCCCATTCCTTACACATAAGTTTACGATAACAAAGGACATTGATTCCTTCCAACAACAGGAAAAAATATCAGAAGTCCATAAAAGTAACATTATAGAAACTTTACGACTACCGTAACAAATAAGAATTGCAATAGGAAATACAATAATCTTTTTGTGTGTAATAAAATATAAAAAACGCTTTACGTTGGTGACAAAGCAATATTTTGATAGGTATTTTGGTTTACTATCGACGGGTCATATAACTGCTGGTGAGGTTACTGCGCATCGCTCGGGTCGTATAAATGTTATAAAATGGTCGTGAACTAACTTTGACTAGTTTACCGGCCTCCTATCTATTTTATTTGAGATTTTACGTCCAACACCTGTGTTATTCATTATCTGTTTGATACCTTGCCACCGGTTGTATCATTTTAGTTTATATGGTGTCCGATGAAAGTGATATAATTTATGATTTCAACGTTCATATTATATGAAAGTTTACATATGGATTCGCAGTGGGTTTAAGTAAATGCTGTTCTCGAAGAGCGTAGGTTTATGAAACAATAACAAAATACTCATCCACTATGTTAATTGAACAGTATCTAATCATTATTAAATGCATTATTTTATCACTAATCTTGTTTTTTATATATTGTCACAACAAAGGCTTTTATGCCTACCTAAATCGCATACATAAATTTACTTAGTACGGGTTTCAAACCAAACTTTATAAAACATGGCACTAAATAACAACACATGTGTTAATTAAACAATTTATTTATTTAAACTCGGCAATGTAAACTTACAAAATATAGTACAGACAGTGAACAGAGCAACATATTTGGCACATGTTGAGCCAACCGATCGTATCAGACACCATTTACAAGTATCATACACGGTATCACACAGAGTATCAAACGACACCGAGTGATAATGCCGCGCATGTGATCGGTTCGTTAATTTTCATCGTTATTCCAATTTGCATCGTTATTCTAAGTTTACATGCATTAAATGTATAATTATTATCATTTAAATTTTCCACGGGAGTGAATTTGTGTTTCCCGTCGTTATACTCGTAGCAATAAACAAATTATGAGACTTACTTATCCGTTGTAAATTTTCCTAATTATTAAACCTACTTTGGCAGTACCACTGTATCGTATTTACAATTAATTTAACTGGAAATATTAACATTCTCTCATTCTATTTTAATGAAATGTCACTTTATTCTAATCGATTCAAAGATATAAAATGTCGATTATTAGATATCTACAGATTTGGTAACACATCATTTATCTCAAATCGATACCAAGTTAAACATGAATAAATAATTATTTTCACCAGTCGTGCCACCGCGTACATATTAATTACACGCGTGGACAAGAATATTCCAAAATTTGGCACGTCCATCTTTGGCAAGAGGTTGTACTACAAATAAATACTTTTTGATTTTCAAAACAATATAAAAATTGTATAACATCGGTCGCTTAAGTTTTAACAGTACTTAGCCTATACAAATTAGATATGAATTTATTTACAATAATATATCGTAAACATCTACGCATCGAGTCGAAACGAATCCAACTAATTTGAACTTTCACAGCGGGCTATGGGTTCAGTGGAGTCGTGTCGGGAGCAGCGAGGGTTTATTGGAGCGTCCGCCGCGCGGTGCCTACACGTCGCTGGGGGGCGAGGCGGCGGGCTCCGGCCGCTAGTGCAGCTGACTCTTGGTACTGAACCCGTAGTGCAGGTAGGGCGAGCCCGCGCCGTCACGAGCCCCGCCCGGCCCGCCGCCGCCGCTGCCAGCGCCGCCGCCCGGGCACTTCAGCGCCGACCGCAGCTCCGATGCCATCTCCGAACATAGTGATGCCTGTACACGAGACATCTCCGTGAACCATGCCCACACATTTACTAAACTTAATGTTTATCAGAAAAACATACCTCTTCCTTCTGTGATTTAGACAGCCGCATTAAAAAATAGTATAATTAATTAATTACTGAGTAACTTAAGAGGCATAGCACATTCCATACTTCAAATTACTTTAAAATTCGAAATTACTTGAAATATAAGAGATGTTTATATTTTAAGTAATTAATAAACTTCAAGACTCCAATATTTGAACAAGGTGCCCGAGCTAAGAAAATAAATACAAGGTTATCCACACATTTTGCTCACTAATTACAGTCTGGCTAGCTTCTACTTAACTAATATAATAAAACTCAGTGAAAAATGTTACCTACGTTATTTTAAAAATAAACCTAGAACAAAATGAAAAACGAAATTAATCGACGAAAATAAATAAAATAAATTAAAACGAACAACAATTACGAAGGTATTTTACATTTATCTGAAATTAAATTTAAAAATTGAATTACTGCTGAGCGAGTGTTAATTAATGTCGTTGTTGACCGGAAAAATGTGAGCTGTTGGCAATTTTCCGGAGATGATAAATTATATGCATGGTCGCGTGGAACATATGGCTTCCGATTGAACCAGATTAAAGACATAGCATATTAATAACCAAAGAGACATAGAAAAAACTCCGTGGATTATGAAATTTTTACGAATATTCCGAGATTCAGAAGAAATATTAGTGAGTTATTAAGACAATTACTCACTCGTTCGTCAACGGCAACTTTGCGCGACTTCCAGACGAATTCGCAGACGGCGATGACGCACGCGACGCCCATCCCACCCATTAGTACGACGAACACTCCGCCGACGTTTGCCAACCCTAGCTCGTTCGCTGTTGATGACGATTTCGATGTCTCGTCCTGTGTTATCAAAAATGTGATACAACGTAAAAGGTAAGGAGTTAGCCACCGTAATATCCTTAACGTATTATGTTACAAAAATAAGGGTCATACGTCGCTCTAGAAGGATGATATTTGCCATTATTTTATTTTATCTGACACATTAGATATTATCCTTTACATTTTATTATAACATAGTTTTGATTCACGAATACTGGCTTTGTGTTATATCATAAGGATTGAAACGTTATTAAGCGTATGTGACACATCTTTGCCCTTTTATATCCCCTAAAATATCATATAAACGTTTAGTGCAAACATGGGAAATACAAGGAAAATTATTCGAGTTAAGTATTTACATGCTGTGAAAGGTTTTAATGAAAATTCTTCCTTTGAGGCTACTTCCACTGTTTTCAATACGATGCCGCGATGCCGCGATGCCTCGTCGAGGGAAGCCAAAAATAAGAGCTGCTTTAAAGTTATTTCAGCTCATAATTTTGGTGAAATTTAATTTTAGTAAATTATCCACGTATTTAACGGTGATTTGAAAAAATCTGCTTGCTGTACAATTTTATTCATATCCGTTCGTTCAAGTAACCATATACATATATTATGGTTGCCAGAACATTTAGTTGAAGTAACAAGAATTCTGAATTGTCGTTTAACAGTTAAACACCGCGGAGCGCAACCCTACGAGTACTGTGAGTAGCTAACGACGTCGTTTTCCCTTTACTTACCCTACAAGACCCTCCGCCACGTTTCTCTTTCCACCATTTTGTTTTCAGAATGTGCAATTTTCCTTCCTCCTGCAGTTTGAGAACAGCCCCGCTTATGGCCGTACGGTATGGCGAGTCTAAAACAATTTGAGTGTTCAAGTAATGTATTCTTGTAAAAGTTGGTTGTAGTCATTTTAAAGATACGTAAACTTTGTAACTATTCATATATTATTGTTTTCGGTTAATTATTAAAAATGTGGGAAAAAATAGTACCTAAGTAGAAAATAGTTATTGTTAAAACGCAAACTTTCCAACTCTATATAAAACTCATTCGCACATGTCGACGAACTACGTTCATAAAAGTTATATTGGCAACTACGTATTTTGCAGTTACAAAACTTTTCTGATTATTTCAACCGTAAGCATAAATATGGGCCATAGTTATACCAGTTAGTGCGAATTAATGAAATTATAACTTTTTCCTTTACGTTACAGGAATTAATTGAGCTTTGTTATTTACGTCCGAAATCAAACTTTATTATGAACTAAGTATCTTGTGTAAGAAAGGAAAATGGAATAAGTTTGCTTACTTGGTGGCATGGCGATCCCGTATCCCTTTGAGTCCAGCATACCCCCCACTTGCGTGAGGTCACAGTTCCTTTCCACGACATACTCAATAGTGGTTGACTCCATAAGGTAAGCATACGCCCCTTTTCCTCGAACCACTCTCTCTTCTCCCTCCTTGTTACTGGTCGCAAATACCGACGGTCGAGCAGATTCCATGAAAGACCACATTCGTTGGTATGTGGAGAAGTTTGAGTCCTGTTTATTAGGATTTATATTTGTATTCACACAAAATACGTAAAGAATCGTATTAAAATTCAATCTTTATGTATTATACTTTTGAGACGTTTATTCAAATCTTGAACCGTTTCTGAGTTTGACGTCCTGTAGTACGTATTCATAAAGTCAATATGTCAACTTTGTCAAATAAAACACGGCCCACGAGAACACATCATAAATCCCAACAGAATTGAGAAACGTTTCATATTTATAAGGTACTTGTGCCGAGCCTAAATTCATAAAGTAAGAAAGTCTTTAATACGAAACATTTATTGTAAGCTACAAAAACGCCTTATTTTTACTGCCGAATAACGTCACTTTATTTTGAAACACCTTTCCGACAAGTATCAGGTTTATTTCAAGACTCAGTCTAAATGAAAAGGGGAAAGTGTTTCTCGGCGAATTTGAGGTTTTCAAATCCACCAAACGTAAATTAAGGGAATTAGAATTCGTTTCGTTAAGCTGTCACCACAGTCTGATAGAAATCGAGGAGGCTAAGGAAGTGGTTTACATTTCGGAGAAATTGCTCTACTAAGTTACTGGAATATTTAAATATTGGTAATTTACAGAATAACAAATGTATTTTAGTGAGATATTGAATAACAAGGAGTATCTGTGCCAACATGCAACTAGGCGTTTTCAACATTACTATTTTGGCAATTTGGCACCTACTCACCCTGAAAAATGCAGCAGTGGAGCCTCCCTTTAGTGCGCCGTACTTAATCTTGGTCTGTTTGGCGAGATCTTCAGCACTCTCAATTGGTGAGTCCATTCGCTCTACAGTGAGGAACGCGGCAAGGTTGGCGGTGTACGAGGATATCATGATCAGAGTGAAGAACCACCACATTCCCGCCACCATGCGGGTCGATACCGCTCTGGGGTAAACAATAGTCATTAAAATATCAGCAACAATAAAACTAGCAACTACCGAGCTTTCTTAAAATAGCTAATAGTCCGCGCGCAGTCTCAAATATCGTAGAATGGAATTATTTTCTTTCGTTTCAGAGAAGAATTTAATGTATGTCAATATAAATGAACTTGCGTCGGTCTGTAAGTGAATGTGATACATTAACAATTATAATGTGGGCCTGTGGGCCCTTCACTGAAACTGTGATTATGAAATAATGAATTCTTAGTGCGTGTTGTGTTTCAGTGCAGTTTCAATATTTGTTACTTTCTGTAACATTTAAGTAAAGGTGTATAAATACTATATTCGGTATGTGTATTTCTAAATTAGACTGGACATTCATTTCGCATCGATACAATTTGACATTCCTAAGACAATGCGAGATCAACATCCTAGTACAGTATGTCTAACAAACTTTGATGCAGCAAGCTGTGGATACTGCACAAGCAAGTCTCGGGTGCGATATCAAAACGTTGTCGGTACTAGTTGTTTATTTAGCTACTAAATCAACTGCAAGTATTCAGCTAAGTACTGTGAAATGGAAACCAAGGCTAGTCGAAATAGCCGACACGTCTCTATTTAAATTGGATACTCTAGGCGACTACCGATGCTTGAAATTCACAAAGGGCTGTGGTCGCTTTGAAACTAATTAGTAAAAGGGAGGTCTTTATCCAAGTTCTGCAACTGAAGGCTACATTTCCGTTTTGTAACTAACGCGAGATAACTTTCGAGTCAATTTCACCCATTCTTATTATATTTAAATGCATTAACCGTTAACCATAGGTCCGATTAAAATTATTCGATCAATTTATCGGGTCTTGTATATGAGGACTGTAGCGGAATTGTAGCCATCAGAGGCATAAGGGACTTACTTCGGCGCGATATCCGAACCTTGCTGCATCAAGGAGCCGATAGTGAACCACAGCGAGTTCAAGAGAGTGAACTGATTCTCCAGCACCGGCGGCTCGTCTAGGCAGTTCCTGGGGGAGTCCCACTCGTACGGGCTGAACCTGCGCCCAAATACTGCCTGTCAGTCACTTACTACGGATCGTATCACCGTTAGCCAACTTACTCTTAAGAACTGTTCAACATCCGGAGAATATTCGCCGAACATAACGCTGCCAAACATTAATTTACTTTGAAAAAGTTTTTGTTGTTTTATAAAATACGTTTCATGGAAAAACTCAAACGATCAACGTATTAATAAAAAAAAGCTTTGCGTGGGCTTTAATTAATAACCTTGTGGTAACCGCAGTCATTCGGGTCTGCGTTGTTATGTGTATACAACCATGACGGTATACATTCCGTATGTAAATTGATTCTACCAGAGACAAAAAAAAGGTTTTATATTTCAGCGAAACGTTTCCGGAATAATTGAAATTCACTTGCGAGTAAGTTGGCGAATGATTGAACAACCCCTGTTTTATGTTCATCTTGTGGACTTCGCTGAGTTCACTATTTTATATCACCAGAAATGAAACGCGTGTTTAGAATGCGAACCAACTTTTATTAGTAAGTAGGTATAAGTATCTACTTTTTATGACGTTTAAAGTAAAAACATGCTTAATTTCATTTCCGGTAAGGAACTGCTTGTTGGCAGTCTAATAAAAATTAATGTTAGGGGTCTTGCTAAATTATCTTACTTGGGCAAAAAATCACAACTTTGCTGCATAAGAGATCCGATGGCAAACCATAAACAGTTTGCTAGAGAGAAAATATTTTCCATTTTCTCACCATCAGGAGTGTGCGTTGGATGCCATTCGTATGGAGTGAACCTAGTGAACAAATACATTTAGCAACCTAATTACATTCGGCACTTTTCCAATTGAAGCAGACGATGTTTCAACAGAGATATGACTCTACTCGAGTTGGCGCCATCTCCATCGCTACATGAACAAGTATTATGTGTGCGGTAAATGTAACACAATACTTTAGAAAAAATCTTTTTTTTTTCAGAACTCAAAGTATTCATATCAATTATGTATATTATCTGTAGATACTGCAATCCCAATATTAATAAAAAAAACTTAAATGAAAGTTGTAAGTCAGTACACAATTGTTTTCATGAAGCTACACCATGTGTCTACATATACGCACCTTGCCAATATAAAGAGCAGAACGGATACGCCGAGATATGCGGTGGCCATATAAATCCACACGTCGAGGGAGAGCGGTGATAGGAACGAGAACAAGTTCGGCGGTTGCTTAATGGGCTTGCGGTAAAGCACGGAAATGCCGAGATTCATGAACGGCATTGTGAAGTCAACCACTTGCTCCCTGTACAAACGAATATAATACAGCGAATGGTTTAAATACAATGCGCTTCAGAGCTACACAAAAGGATTTCGGCTGAATGGCTAGGGAACAAACAATATTATTTTGCCTTTCCAAAATAGCTTCGGATATATTTTTGGAAATAGAACAATTATAAACCCTAGTGGTGTTATTGAGGTAGATAAGAATATTACATTGATATAATCGTGTGTACCTGTCGTATGTAATGGTTAGATCAGCGATGGCGAGGTCGGCTCGCTGCTCCAACAATTCCCTTATCATGCCGTCCCACTCTTTAGTCTCACGGTTGTAGGACCCGTATCGACCGTCAGGCGCCAGCTTGAATGTATAATTGAAGCCCAGAATTTTAGATATCTCGTGAATTAGATCAATGGCGTAACCCTCGAACTGTGCGTTGCCCGTTAGCTTCTCGCTGGCCTCTCTCCTCATACAATATGGCGAGCTCTAGGGATTAAGAGAACAGATTACATATGTAAATGTGTTAAAAAAGAATTACTACATGAGTAAACAGAGTTTACATACTCGGGGAATACACGTGAAATGAATACGTAAGTAGCGTACTTTTAGAAATGCTCGAGTGATTTTTTTATTTAAATACAGGTTTCTGTCTTCTGTGTTTCTGTTTAGAGCTTTGTATTGTATGTATCAAGGTATGAATACGGATATGTCTCACATGAATATTTTCTCTCAGGGAATATATTTTTACTGTGTGCCAGTCTACATAAATCCCCTTTTCGCTTCTCGAGCGAATACTCATACCTATACGCGATACGCTAATTTTGCTTTTGTAGGCCGCGGGAGGGCCGTAATATGTTTCCACTAGATTAATGCAATCTTGAATGTTATTTATTGCTTACCAGAATGGTTGTTACGATGAGCGTCTTGTTCTGAAGTATTTCCACTATCTGCTTTTGGTTTTCGCCGTAAGATCTCGTGTAATTTACACCTTCTGAAGAGTTCCAAGTTCCAGCCTTTTGCAGTCCGTCCCTCGTTAATTCAATTATATCTAGAGTGAAATCGCTTCTGAATCCTTGATGATCAAACTTTATCACTCCCGTTAAGCCTTTCATTTCGACCTGTTATTGAGTTAAGTATTGTGCAAGTTATTTTGTTTATCAAGTTCCGAGATGTATTTAAGTTATATGGACAAAGTTTTGGGTCAAATGTATCTACGTTAAAGTTTTGGTAAAGTCGTTGTCCTCGTTTATGTGAAATTTGATTATTGTTAATTGAAAACTGATTCCATCACACAAGAAATTGAAATCACATTTAGTTAAGACTTCATATCGTTTCTGAGAATGACAATCGCGGAGATTATGCTCAATAACATTATTGATTTGGCAATATTATTCCGATTAATTTAGTCTTGGATTATTATAAATCCTTGTGTTTTGAACATCATAGGATATGTCTTTCAAAAAGTATTTCAAGCTAATTAAAATACAAAGTCCTGATAAGAGTTATTTGAGATAACTACGTGTGTAGCGATATCCGTAGAGATTGACATAAAAAGCAAAATCTCGGAGTGCTTAAGCTGAACATAGCTGTAGCAGTTAATCCGTCAAGTCTCACGTTCCAGCAGTTAATCCCACTATGTTGGTCGCAGCTTTGTTCAATGACCACTAAACCTCTCTTTTTATTGCGAGACTTTAGTACACTTTGAACGAAAACCTTAGCACATTTGTTCATGGATTTAAATGCTAAATCAACATTTTCGTGTAAGTTAGAGAAGGGACGGTAAAGATAATATTGCTTTAAAATATTTCGTGGAGTGAACTATATACATATAGGTGAAATACGCATATATTAATTCTTTAGTCTTTTGTTTTATATAAAGCCTTTGTGATAACAAGAGGGGATCATGATACCGATTCCGTTAGTGTTTTTTTAAGATTTACATAAGACATACGATAAATGAGCAGTGTGTCCCGCAATTATGGTGATGAAATTACAATTTTAGTCTTTTTAACATAAGAGTAAGTATAAAACCAGACTGCATGTACTAATATGGTTGAAATTTCGGAAACTAGGATTCCTAATAACATTTACCCGACTGGGGAAGTGGACTCAAAACTTGGTACTACATACTGTTTAAATATTAAGGATGCAAGTGTAATGAAAATAACTTACGATTTTCATGTAATTGATGAGACTGTACCCATGTGGCCACGTGTCTTCAGCCTCGCAGGAAAGAGGCCTCACGTCTATTTGTTGTGACGTATCAAGATCGTGCAGAGCCTTCGCGAATAAATGTACTGCATCGTACATTAGAGCCGTTTCCGTCTGCACATCAACAAATAAGTATGGAGTTAATCAAGAAGAAAAGATAAATGCAAAAGCAAAGTTAAAGCGAAAATTATGTAAACAAAGATGATAAACAATCAAGATGATATATTTTGACCTTTTAGCGAAAACAATTTATAAAGAAAGCATCCCAGAAAGGTTGTGCTGTTTATGTTAAGCGCGTAGACCTAAAATATGTGCATAATTTTAATGTTCTCACCTTTATAAAGGTCATGTTTTCCTGCAAACAAACAATTATTTTTAACACAGCTCCATTGTTACTCGTAGAAATAATTTTATTGTTGCCCTACATACCTTAGCCGTCGTATGTCCCAATTGGAGTTTACGTCCTTTTCGGGCTTCATCGTAAACCCAATCCCTTACGACTCTTTGGACATCAGCACGTTCAGGGTCAAGTAATCTTAAAGCTGTAATATTTGTGCCACCGTATTTGAATTCTTCTAAATCTACGCTGTGAAGGTCCTGTACAAAATTCAAAGTTTTTAAGAAGGTTCTGTGTATTTTTATGTATGTAAATATTTTCTAACAACATACCAGGGACGTTATTAAATAACTATGATAGTCAGACATCATTCCTATTTGCTGTGCTTGTTGAAGTACGTCTCGTATCCTCTCTGTGGCACAATCTAATACAATATGCGACTCTGCTGAATTCTTTATCTGCTTCAAAAGTGGCCTGCAAAGGACATTGAGCTTTAGTACAGAGGACTAAGTATGAAAATTGTTTGTGAATTCAGGCCGTACTTACCTGTAATCATGAGAATCTGGCAGTTGCCTCACAGCAACAGGCAGTTCCGACGGACCGTGAGCTTTGAGCAACTCTTGAAGACGAACTAAGCCGTCACTGTTCTCGTAAACTATTGTAAACGACCGCCATCCCCAAGCTCTCACTAAATCTACGTAAGCCTAGAAATATAATTATCGTTAGTTTTAATCACTAATCAATTCTGAAAATTAGTATAACATCAAAAGCCATTACACATTTCAATTTCAATATTGAATTCATGATTTGTAATATGGTTGATAACAATTGGGTATTGAATTAAACCCGATGGCTCAATGTATTAATTAGTTCTGATCCCATTCGGTTCCGATTGTTATTTATGTAATTACATTGAATCTTATGGGACAGTGAAATTTATTTGAAACGTTTCTTGATATTGTCTCCCTTTGAATTCTTTCGCATTGTGTGTGTCCTTGCTACATAAATGGGCGATCGACCTAATTGCGGATGTCCAATCTTCCGGGCGGGTGGACAATTTCATTTTTACCAACGACGGGGCCACAGCCACATATGCGTTTAATGGCCGTATCGTTTTAGTATTCAATTTTATATTATCTGCTTCAGAAGGATGGTGACGAAATAAGCTACAGACCTTTTAAACCTATTAATAAGTGCTCTAAACCGTGTATGGAAATTACCTATTAGCAGTTTATCACGATAAATTATACGTTTTGGGGTCGGAGATAGGCATGCGGTCACATTTTCTAACAATAACTTACACCTAAACAGTTTGTTTCGATCCCGCCTACGAAATACCTAAATTAATTAAAATCTGTGGAATGGGAACAATGAAAAAACTTTAAATAGTGACTTTAATATGGAGAAACTTTTGTAAAAAGTAAGCGGCGAGAGCCTTTAAGGTTTTAAGAACTGAGATTTCATTAATTTTTTATTTGATTTTAAACAATCTTGACCTTAGAATTTTTCTTTTCTTTTGTGTAATCGTGTAGCGGGAGCGACAATCGCAAAGACGACAAAAACTATACGATACACAAGGCAATTTATTTATGTATTTAGTTGATGGTATAATATTAAATTTAAACAATGGATAAATTTGAAGAATTGTGTACAATACATATTGTTATAGCGAGCAATATTTATTTACTAAATGCATAGTCCAAAAATATGAATTAAGCTTTTACCAAGCAACAAAACAATACATTTATTTTTTTGTTACGTAATTTGTGATCCCTAAAAATTAGATTACCGGTTGTGTTTCTGTCCTAATACTATCAAGCTGACCGTGTTTTGTGGAAGACATTTCGACAATTATATTTGTAGTTTATTGATATCGTGAACAAACGTTCCTTGGGGAAGTATTGTGATTCAAGGAGTACTAAGAAAACATTTTCAGTGTGGTCTCCGCGATAGGGTCGACTAAGTCTCGCATACCGACGGCCGACGCCACTTTCCGCAATTAAGATAATTAATTAACAAAGTTTTCTGTGACAGTTCCTAAGCTCTACGAAGAAGACGTCTCCGTTACTTGGCGAGCGGTCAATGTTTACTTAAAATATTGCTTTATTACTTTCAACTCTATATTTAGCTACATCTTCATGCTACGAAATTACATTTTATTCAGGTGATAAAAGCGGGTTGACTACCAGTACCAGTCAACCCCTCTTCTTGTACAAATTTTACAATAAATTGATGATTCTGTTAATTTTTTAGTAATTAGGTCTCAATGATCCCTATGTAATTGGTTTATAACCCACAAATCCCCAATATAGTAGATACCTCAATCCAATCCGATAATTATCAGGCTAATAACCAAATTAAGCTCGTTCATGTATATGAGTTCTAATGTCTGTATTATGTAGATATTAACTAGTAATTTACGGTTAGGATAATTACCACGCAAACACTGTTTATATTTACTCAAGTGTCCGCAGTACAGTAAGTTTACAAAACTAACACTTGGGAGAAATCAAGACATACACATCTGAGAACTTCATGAATATTGTGTTTAATTTTAAGGTTGATTAATTGGTTCATTAGAATTGTTTAAGTTTATGATTAGGGCCCTACTTAGAATGTATATTGGTTCAAGAGCAATGTTTAAATTATGAAATAAAGTAGGTACTTAGTACACGGTTTTAAGCCTTTTCTCTATTACATGGAACTCATAACATGATTAGTGACAAACGATATCTTCGGAGGCTAAAACTTTGGAGTTTGTTACTTACTAAAAATTAAAATGTAAACTCACTCGACTCAGTGCAGCTGGGTGTGGATAAAGGTTGACCAAACATGATTCTCTTCTGGTGCGGTAATCCCACCTGGTTTCCAAATGTGGGAGTTCCATAGTGTCACATATTGACTGGACGTGGGCGGCAGCTGGCGCAGACTGGGGGCCAAAGATGGCCGCCACGCCACTTCGTAGCAGGTGACACACTACGAACAAGATGTCACACGTGCATTTTATGTGAAGATATTTCCTTTTGTTTTGTTACAAATACCACAGTAGCTGGTATATTTATATCTGTAGCTTTTATTTAAATATGTATATGTATGTCTACATTATTTGCCGAAAGATAACAAACTTCTTAGTAATGTGATAAGATTTGGCAGCTGGTGGTGGACTTTTGATACAGCTTATTCACCTCTATTTGAATTGTGCCCGGTATATGGCAATAGGTTCACCCCCTATTATATGATATCGGACCCATAATATAAATAGTGAAAAGTGAGTATTACATTGTACAGTGGCATTAAGTGCTGTAATGTGCACCTCTGTCTACCCCTTCGGGGATAGAAGGCGGAATTCTATGCATTATTTACCTCTATAGCTAAATTTTCCAATGAGTACGTTATTGACACTGGTTGTTAATTATTTATTAAGACCGACGCCGTTAAATGTAAGCACTCGCAAAAGTCTTATACCTACGCAATTTTATGAAATCAACAATATCCACTGAAAAAATTTAGCATTATAATAATGCGTCAGACGTAACATAACGTTTTTATCAATTGAAACTATATAATGATACATGTTTAATGTTTATAGAACTGGAGAATCTGATATAAGTGCTGAATCAATTGCATACGTCTCGTGTAAATCAAGCCAACTTCGATATAACACTAGGATGGGAAGCAATTGCTGTAGTAACTTTTCATTAATAAACTTTAGGGCTTAAATATTTCTCCGGCCACCGTAAGCCTCGCCACCTGACGAACCAGAGAGTGACCAAACCACCTGAAACCCGAGCGTACGAAACGCGTCGCGTTCCGCGCGCGCCTCAAAGAGCCATCAGAACACCATAGATGGGACCCAACAGGGCTGATGCCGAAACAGAGCCGGGGCCGGGGCTCCAGCTCGAAGAGCACGAGTAGGAACGTGGTGGTTTTCAGTCAATAAGAGTCTGACACTCCCTCCCGCCTCACCCGGGCGGAAGAAGCCATTTGATGATTTTCCCCCATCAAAACAAAAAGCCTTGAATATTGTAAATTCTAATGAATGATATCTCCCTCGGTTACTACAACACGAACAAAGGAACGCGATATTAACAATATGAAACATGTTAGAAAATACTTGTACACGCAATAAAAGAAAAGCATCACGTACGTACGGTCACGTTGTCATAGCCCCGCGCCGTACGTGACCATTGGCCGAAAACTATTACGTCACACGTCCCGTTCAGGGCTGATTGTATCCGTGCCGGATCAGACAACTGGACCCTGTTCACCCGGTTATGTAAAATGGGTAACCAGACGAGGACATTACTTCTCACCAAACTTTATTATACCAAATAATATAAAAGATAGATTTACGTGATATTTCGTAAGATTGATTGCAAATGGCTTTTCTGACGTTGGACTCTAAGTTATAGCCTTTTCATTGTGTTACTTTACTCTATTTATTCGACCTGAAGTACTTATTTTTAGACTTCATTGTTATTTCATTTCGTTTTGCTCCCTGAAGAAGTTGTAACGAGAAATATATTTTCAATAAAAATATCTATTAGATAACTCATGTCTATTGTATATCTTCAAATTCCATAATATGTTAGGTAGGTACACAATAATATCAGTAAAAAATATCACGTTATCTTAATGATATGTTTTTCTCCAATTTAAATCAGGATACAAAAAGCTACGTTCAAACGTATGTCCAGCTATTACCGCGAGTCACAAAGTGTTTGGTCAGTTTCTTCCGTCGTCTGTCAAGTGTTATACAGACGAACATCCATCTATCTTCATTAAATAAAGGGTGAGAGGGACATAAAGAAACGTCGGGTGATATATTATGGCGGAAAGATTATGGCTTTCAAGTGACGGAGACGGTGACAGGGCGATAACGTTCGCGCGTTAGTGGCACCCTACTTCGAAATTTGCTTTCCTAACTACGGCCCACCAAGATTTGATGAAACTTATGGATATGAAGTTTGGAGTTTGAAATCACGTAGGAGTTACGGTAGCAATTTGGTAAAATGAGAGAAAATAAATTATATTGATCGGATAAACTTTAGCCGTTGCTTTTTGTAAGCGTTTAGATGAAATATTTAGGTTCGTCAAGTCACGTTTTTATTTGATAGGCGACTATTACAGAATCTTACACAAACTGGATTTAAGCCCATAAAGCTTACGAAGGAAATGTAGCAGGTGTCGGTGACATTAACCTGAGGCAATAAAGGATGAAATAAAAAATATTTTTATCCTTTTTGTTGTTTTTACTCGGTATTTATTTTTTGGGATTATCTCTTATATCCTAATTAATAATGTATGAAAGAACGTACCTCGTTTGGAAGCATGGAAGCTGTCTTGTGGCGAGATGGTCTCTACTTGTGCCAATAGCTTGGCTCTGGGTAACACTGCCCTGTCCGCATTCACTCGCTCCACTGCGTACCGAAACGCGACCTCCTGCTTGTCATCTTCCGGGTGGAAAAGTCCACCTATGATCAAAAGAACAATTTTATTCTCCAAATGTAATTATTCTACCTTTTTACTTATCAAAAATGTTGATGATATTGAAGTAAAGACACGTGTTATAAATAGAAAATGATTTTGTTATTCTGTGATTCGTGACAACAAGGTTTTAATTATTTCTGTTCATATTTAAATTCTTCAGTTGCAATTATGTACACATCAGTTTTCTAAGCATAAATCTAGGATGCTAGTTTTACGAAAAGTCAGACATTTAAGATAGGATAGCGGGTATAGCATGTTTTCAGATAAATCGAAATTCGTAAGGAAATGTTCCTATTTAATTATTTCGATCAAAGAGGCTGTAAATTTCAAAATAATATTTAAATAACATTTCGTGTAATTTGATGAAGAACTTTTATACAAAAATGTCTGGAATGGATAACAACAAATCATGTTATGGAGAACTGGATATTAAACGTTAAATCAAATACAATTAAACATTATTAAAATCAAATCCTCCCTAATGATGTCAAGATCTAATTATAGATACTCAAATGATTATTCTAAAGCAGTATTAATATAAATTTTTGCAATACCACTCGCGATTAAACATAAATCAACATTAAATTCAGGTTTCACTGTAATTAATTCATTATTATAATTGAGTTGGTAATTTAATCCTCACCTATTCGGATGGTGTCGGGCAGGGCTGATAGATGTCCGAAGAATAAAATAAGGAATATTGCGTTCGCCCCTCTCATTCTGTAACAAAGAGTAATGACGTCATTTTTATATACTAGGGGATGAATAGATCTAAACATATTATTCAAGATCATACTTCGAAACTTTGGTTAATTTTACGTGTGTTGGAAAAACAATTAATAACACTGGGTAAGTAGGTGATTATGAAACTAGTACCTACAATATCATTTACAGTGTATGACAAAAAAGTTATACAATAGGGATGATGACAGGGTATGAAAATTAAAAATCGAATTAGTCCGTCAGTTAGGTAATGTAAAAATATTAGACACATATTTTGACCAATATACCTACGACGAATCAAAGTTTAAGAGAGGGGGGTAGCTACGTCATTTTTGAGTACAAATCGTACACAAAAGTGTCGTCAAGCGATATTTCAAATCAATATATCGTCGAAAGTATTTGTTTCCGTTAGAAAATAAAAATACGTGTCTAATGTTTTTAAATAATCTACCAAACGAATTTTAAAATAAAAATTAGTCATTAAAAATTTATTGAAGTTATTTTATACACTTGTCCTTCTTTCTTCACAAAAATGAATAAGTATACACAATTGAATGCAGATATTCAGAAGTGATAAGCATTAACGTTCAAGTGTAGGTATATTTTTATTTTAGACTTAATACATGAATGAACTTTTTCATCTTTAGCCCCTAGATGCGTGTACAATAATAAAATAAAATGTATTCACAAACAAACATGTTTAAATACCAAATTAAAATATTATAATTGCAAATTATAGCACTTAAAATGATCGTCGCATCGTTTGTATAAAATATTTACTTTACGTAAATGTCAACAAACTGATATCCACTTTTCAATTAGCAATTATTTTGGCCATTGTCAGTCCCAGCGAGACCGAGGGCCTATTGTTAGTTAGTTTACATAACGCTACGTACCCGAATAAATATAGAAAACAGTTGCCTATCACGTAAATAGCCTAGACAAAAAAGGTTTCACGACACTTTACGAAATGTACACAAAGCACCGCTAATTAGTTCGTGGTGCTACACATCGACACAACTATCATTTACACAATATACATGTGTGGGTAATTTCATATCAATAGATATGTATAGAAACATTCGTCTATCACACACATCTTGGTATTTAAATATCATTTTTGTGTCGGTATACGTAATAATTTAGTCAATAAGTTTAAATAAAAACGAGGGTAAAGATAAAATTACTCATAACAAACTTTGAATAAATCGAAATCAAAAATAATGAACGATCGAGCTATACAATACCCATATAACTATAGTTCTTTCTCATTGTAATTTTATGTTACTGAATGATATGCAATATTTCGATGATTTCATCTACAGCGCGCTTGGCGCAATGGTTATCGCCTCCAATTGTCAAGTAAAGTGCCGCCGGATCGATTCCAGCATTCACATGTTGTTTTAGTATTAATTTATCAAATATTTGAAATTTGAAATTGAAGTTAGAAACAATTTAATCTTTTCTTTTTTTCCTATCCTATTGTTCTAAATCTTATGTTAATTTTAATAGTAAATACTTTAGATTTATTTATACCTATAATATCTTTTATTTATATTTTTTAATGTAATTAAAATTAATTAAATAAATAAAATAGTGATTTAAAGAACTTTAAGCTTAACATGTGGTATATAATTAATTATTAAATATAAATATTGAATATAAAACCACATATTTGTATAATAAATAAATTAATTGTAATAAAAAATAGTATTATTTTATTAACCGACTCATTTGCTTCTTTTATAGCCTGATATTTATATTTTATGATAAAAAACAAAAAAAAATAAGAAAAATAACAAGGTAATATAAAATAAACATTTAGCTGGAATAGAACCCACATCATTGATCCTTGAAAGACGATAAAAGCGTGCTCATTAACCAATCGACCACGAGCACTACGATAATGACAGTGAAAATGTCTGGTCATATCAATGATTGTAAATAGTTTTAACCTTACCTATGCATTAAATTATAAAAATACGTATACCGACACAAGAATGAAAATACCAATGTGAACGTGGTGGACGAATATTTTTATACACAGTAATATGAAATTACCCACACATGTACACTGTGTAAATGACAGTAGTGTCGATGTGTAGCGCTGCAAACTAATTAGCGGTGCTTTGTGTACCTCATTATCTAAAGTATAAAATAAAAGCTAAATAATTTATTTGTGCTAAAGCTGAGTTTGTCACTCGTTGGTTGTCATACCTACGTTCTACGTCGTATACAAGGCAAGCTGTTTGTTTACTAAATGATAGAAGTTGAATGAAATAGGTAATTTTATACGAATTATTACGCCATTTCCCTAAAGAGAAGCGAAGAATTTACTTATGCTATACCCACTTGTTATCAAGTCCTTTTTAAGAACGAAAACTTATTGCTAAACATAAGAAAAAGATTTCGTAATACCTCACAAAAATAGAAAATGGACTGCAATATAGTTAAATGGAATTTCCTTGACTAAAACACCGTAAAACAATCGACTTCTCTTTCTCCTACAGAGTGATTGAAAGAGGCATCTTCAGTAAATCTACTCCCATCAATCCTTTCTAAATGGGAAAACCATTATTACATTCGTTCTTCTCAATCTTTGTCACTATATCTGCTTTCTGCCTATATCTCTGTTTAATCACGCATTTCTGCACTCTAGCAATATTTTGTCTACAACATTAATCCTACTTTCATGTCTCTTCTTGTCACCGGCATAGGCAAGCGTTTGACAACTCTAATTTATAGTCATCCGAGTGAAAAACTCTAATCAACAATTGTTATGTTTAGGTAATTATTAAATTTCCATGGCACTCACATATTTTAAGGGATATCAACAAAGGTTTATATGTTTATGTGTGTGTGAGCTTAATTTCTTATTTTGTCTGTCGAAAACTAGGCTTGATCTCACTTATAACTTTCGATATTCAGGCAATATTCGCCAACACGAAGAGTAGTTTAACCCAAATAGACATCGGAACTCGTTATCTAGAACTTTTAAATTGGCATCCGTCTGTCTGTTACTAAAATATGCAAGCCTTAAAACGTCTCTGTCCTATATACAAAGGTCACGGCACTTAGTGGAGTTATTACAAGATAAGTGGAGTCTCGTTTCGAATGCTAGTGAGATTGTTGATGTAGTTACTTGGTACACTTCGCAGCTAAACTAGTTAACTACATAACCAGGTATTTTAACACACTGTTATTCCCGTTACGCTCTCACTTCTGAGAATGTAGATTGGTTTTGCGAAATCGTTTTCAGAGAAGAGTTTAAATAATAATGTTGGTAAAGCGTGTTAACATAGCGAGTAAAATTCAACCGTCAATAAAAGGAGTTAAAATATCGCTATAGCTGTACGTAATCTTATTCATCATATTTTTTCTTGCTTTATAGATAGTTATTACCTGCAGTCAAATTTGTACCCTACTTACGCTTGTTATAGAAGTTAGAATACAGTACTACATAATTATGAAATTAATGAAATTTTGTGACCAAACAATTTATTTATGTATTTATTTATAAAACGCCCCTGGTTTCAGGCTCACAAGACATTTACACATTAATACAGCTTGTCACAATGAGTTAACAGACAGATATTAATGTACATTTAATGGATATTGTGTGAGGTGATAAATATCCAAGAATATGCCCTTTAATTTTATACAGTATCTGTACAATAATATGCTGACTTCAGAGACCGTGTCTAACTATTTCTAGCTGACTTTATATAAGCTTGCTGAAGTCGGTAAATGAGTAGCCATTCTCATCATTCTGAAATTCCTTCGTGCCTAGAAGAATACCTCGAAACTCGTCGGTTTCGGTTATCAAATAAACATTTACGACAAACATTAAGGTTGGGTAGAAGCCTAAAAGTGAGACAACGGGTATAACCAAGATCAAGATTAGTTGCTCCAAATAAAACCAAAATAGTTTCAGCCGAAAGTTGTTTTGGGTATATTGCTGGACTTACTCGGTTAGGGAAAGGCTAGATCAATACTTGGGTTTGCAAATAATTCTTCTTTAATTTTTAGTAACACGTAATACGTATACTGTGTCTGATCGACTTACACCTAAATGTTTTATCTTCGCCTTTACCTTTTACTTTCACAAACATTTAATGAACCTCATTATAATTATTTACTCTTAACCAGACGGTGCTTAATGTTAAATGAATACTCGTAAACTAAATATTTGGATAATAATAACTATTTAATTTGAAATATTCAGTTTAAAAATGTGATTTTTTTCGAAATAGGTCTCTACTTTTTTGTAGTTTAAACGCGCGGTTGGCCATTTAAAAAAAAACGACGGCTATTCGTGGAATTTTGTGGATTGATGAATTTGGGACTGGAGTGCTTTATGATATACTGCCGTACAGTTAACACATGGACTATTTTTGAGTGTTTATTTCATGCTTGAAACCAACAGAAATATTTACTAGCATTCCAGTTTATGCTGGTTGAAATGTTGCTACTAAAACTGAAGAGGTTGATACTGAAATGCCCTCAATTTTAGCTCATTTGCATGTACCAACAATTTGACGTCACGAACCCTTAGTATTGTTCAGCTTCATATCTAATGCGTTATGAAACGAGGCATATAAGAGCTCATTGCGGAGGATATGAAATCATAATGGCGGAGGAGTTATCCTTTTTGTTGTTACGCAAATTAACACTAGACCAAGAGCTGCTGTATGTTTGAGGGTTCGGGGCTTTAAACGTTGTGTAATTCCTTTTATATCTTGAGTTTATAGCATACTAGCTTTTACCCGTGGCTTCGCTCGTGTCACTAAAGGAAAAAGTAGCCTGTGACGTAATAACATAACAATACACACAGCGCCATCTATACCAATACTTTTGTTTTCCCTCGGGAATATAACATTTTGCCGGGATAAAAAGTATCCTATTATTTAATCCGGACTTCTAACTTTACGTCTGCAAAAATTCCAAGCAATCGGTTTAGTAGTTACGGCGTGAAAGCAGAACAAACAAACAAACA